ATAGAGAAGTCAAAGTCTTCATGTACACCCACTTCAACTGGCACCCGTTTGATCGCATTGATGACTCGGATCCAAATAAGATATACGACGCCTTTATATCGTTCAGCGGGAATGACTTCGACTGGGTGAAGACCACGTTACAAGAACGACTAGAAAATCACGAACCCCTTATAAACTATGCTTTCATCACCGCGACTTTCCAGTTGGCGAGCCAATCGTGGAAATCATTTTCAAAAGCGTGGATCAAAGTAAACGCATGCTAGTGGTGCTGTCTTCCAGCTACGCAAAGAGCGATTGGTGTTTGATGGAGTTTCGTGAAGCTCATCGAAAAGTGTTAGAGGATCGAATGAAATACTTGATAGTTATTCTGTTTGATGATGTGGACACGACAGAGCTGGATGAGGAATTTAAGTTGTACCTGCGAACCAACACGTATTTGAGCATTAGCGACAAGGGGTTCTGGCAAAAGCTGTATTACGCGTTGCCCCTTCCTTCGTCGAGGGAATCAGGTGATAGAAGTCTCGAAAGCGTAGCTCTATAACTCTGCACAAATATTACAACAACGCAAGATGGAGATGGCTCATAACCCAGTAAACGCCCCAATGCTTGTTGAACAATAGTACCTTTCCAAGGCTAGGAAAGTAGAGGCAGTAGCGGCACAGAAATTAAGCATTCGACGAACTAGTGAAATAAAAAACTGCTTGTGACTTATATTTCATGGAACGAAAGTCACTTTTAATCAAAGGCCCTCTGGGCTGCTTCGTGTCACTTGTTGTAGAGTTTCACTGGACATATGGCCACATTTGCCTGTCAAGAATTGCTCTAGTTTGCTGGAACTTTTTTTATTTTTGTAATGCAAAGGTAACGCTAGATAAACTACAAAGGAACAATTTTTCACTTCCGGTATTTTTACGAATACGATCTGACTCGATCTGGCCCAATCTGACGACTCTTATTTACAATTAATGTTTGTGATTTATACCTCTTTGGTTTTGTCGGAAAGTGTGCGTTATATATGTTAGTTTTTGATCGGGTCATTGTGATCTGTAGATTTTCTGATGTTAGGGCTATATTTAGTTTTTTGGGACTTCAGTATTTACGACCTTTTCGTAGCAAAAAGGTTTCCTAAAATAGATTGTAGGTTAGAATTCCATTTGAGGAACGTTTACGCGGCTCTGTAGTAAAGTCAACTTTAAGCTTAAGTCTGTTGTTAGTTGCTTTATTTCATGGATTGAAATGATGCTGATACCAGAGGAATCGAAAACCATTCAGCACGAATCAGTTCCGAGTGATTCGTCTTCGAGTGATTCGACTTAATGCAAGTAGCGTGACGCGATGTAATGCTCATGCCAAAAATAAAATGTAACGTAAACAGAATGCAAGCGTTACACCTCCGGTATTGTCACGAACGATCTGGCCTCATCTGACCCATATTGACCACATCATACCTAACATGACCAATTTAGAGGGAATCCACCAGACGTTCTAGTAACAAGTGGATAAAACTTTGTACCAAGATTATTTGCATCGTATTGTAACCTTCTGTGCGACTGTTTTAAATATCTTCACAAAAGAAATCATTTCGAACATCACCAAGTGTAGAAAACATAATTTTGAAGTTCATATGAAACATTGGCAAGTACTGGTGAAATGAGACTAATGATGAAATTTTGCCTGTGTTTGCACAATTTCTCTGAACTTTGAAATGTGTTTTCCTGAGTTTCCATGAGAAATTGTTTTTGGTGTTATTTCAGGCAACTTTTTATATCTTTAGCTTTTAGAAAATGCAAAATGGACTCTAATATGCTTAAAATTATTCTGGTACAAGGTTTTTGTCCACGTAAAACTGAAATTGCTCGATTTCCCATCGGAGTTCGTCTCAATGTTTGTGATTATACATGTTGCTTACTCTGAGTAAATGTGCATTAGAGGTTAGGTTGTAATCGGCTAATTGTGATCTCTAGATTTGCCTGATGTTAGTCCCCCTAAAAAGGTCTGGATCTGTTTAGCGTGACTGAAAATCAATGCCGTCAACTCTTCTTTTTAGTAGTTGTGTTTATAATATATGGAGTAAATTTATTAAATAAACAAACTAAACATAAAACATTTCGTCAACCTTCTGCCCCTCCCTTACGCTTTTCCAAGGCCCGCGCAAGTCCGGCTGTCAGTGAGTTGTACATCATGCGGATGACTTCTGACGTTTCGGTTACCGTGCTGTTTCTCGTCATCACTTCATCTCCTTCTGCAACTCTTTGCCGCTGCTTGCATTCCTCCACAATGTCCCTGTGTAGAAATACTGACCAAGCAATGTTTGTTTACCTTTCAATTTCCATTGGGAACCAAGTGGCCATCAATTATTTAGGAGACGCGGTGGGTTTATGGTTAGCGCACTAAAATCCCAGACCGAATGGTCTGAGTTCGTCGATCGGGCCCTGACCGGGGCCACTGTGTTGTGTTCTTGGGCAAGACACTTAACTCTCACGGTGCTATTCTCCACCCGGGAGTATAAATGCGTACCAGCCAATTTAAAATGCTTTATCCTGTTAAGAACAATGGCGAGCACCGAAGTATAAGATCGCTGTTGATTTGAATGTACAGTCTTCTAGAAAGTCTAATCCAAGGGAAAGTGTACTTATTTTGAAACAAGTTTATTCAAAATTTAATCAAGAACAAAACAAGTGTTTTGACAATTCTAACGTTGCAGTTTGAATATATTCTTCAACTATACTTTTTATTTCCTGTGGAATATTTCAGCGAGCGAAACATTTGGACTAACGGCGAAGTAATTCATAATTTTTTTATTAAGTTCTAGTTTTCATTTAGTGTTTAGTGCTTTTTATTTGATTTTAATTCTGTAGCGTTTTCAAAGGCCAGTTTCGATATATTCAACGGAATTCTTAAAAGGCTCTGAGGCTTAGGGGACCAAAACAAAAGGCATTGTTTATTCCTTCCTCAACTTCAACGTGATTTATTTTGTTTTAGTTCTCTAAACCTTCGCGCCATGTTGAAATTTTAATATATCGAAATTGGCCTATACATTTCGAACGTAATCATGCAGTCGTGATAAAGTCTTCAAGCCTGGAATGCCACATGGCTAAACTTATTGCTTTCTGTGTTTTCTCCTCAGGGTGAAAACAACAATTTTTCCATTTCATCTTGGATAGGGAAGCGTTTCTTTACACACATCACGTGAGTATGATGACCTTACTGGACTTTTTTATTTCTTCGTCTCGCCTCATTTGGACAGTCTACATGCCTTGAATGGATCTTGGACTTTTGAACGATGGGCCTAAGTGGGTCTAAGAACTGACAAAAAGGAGTTGGTTACAAATTCTCATCCTGCGTTTCCTGATATCTGAAGCATAGACTGGTCCTGCATCCAAATTGCTGGCACAAGATAAGAATTCTGTTTAGGAACAATTGGACCGTCTGCACGCGCTGAATGGATCCTGAGCTTTGTACTAGAGATGTGGGTAAGAACTGGCCCACAAGGATGCCGGTTCCACCCTGCAAATTCTCTTCCTGCGTTTCTTAATTTGTGAAGCACAGACTGGCACTACATCCAAATTGCCGGCACAAGAAAAGAATTCTATTTAGAAACAATTGGACTGCCTCACGGACTGAATGGATCTTGAGCTTTGTACAAGAGATATTGGGTGTAAGAACTGGCCCACAAGGGAGCTGGTTCCACCCTGCAAATTCTCTTCCTGAGTTTCTTGATCTGTGGAGCATAGACTGGTCCTACATCCAAATTGCCGGCGCAAGAATTAAAACGTGTTTAAGAACTGTCTGCATGCGTTAAGTGTCCTTCACCTCGCCCAAAATGAGGTAACCGTAATCAACAGAGAATCACTGGATATGTAACCCCATTATGACTTTCTTGTCTATTTTTCTCTTTTCTCTTAGTTAAACCCACTCCCTTACCCTCTTTGATATTTACCCAGATTACGCTCGCCATATAGTGACAGATGGTGTGAAGTATTCGCACGATGATAGGGTAAAAATAGGGGACGGAAACAACAACGTACAGTTAAACCTAACATAGGTCCACAATGCATACATTTGGCTAGTGGCGTTTACGCGTTTCTTTTCCCGGTTGGCTTCATTGTTAAGGCGTGACTTTCAGTTTAATTGATCTCGATTTGGGAATTTTGTTTTTAAACCTGATTTTTAAAGCGGGAAATCTCTGGTGATTATCGAAAGTTCTTCTTCCTAATTTCCATTTTATATTGCTGAATGCTACTAAATGTACAATTAAATTCTGGGGAGGAACTACAAGGTTACAATGATGAAAGTGGATAAAAGTTCATCAAATTTGATTTTGTGACAGTATGTCAAGATGGGTATCCAGTGGAGCTATGGTACGCAATGGTCTTCACTCAATTTAAAAAGAAAAACGATCACCGTACAGGCAATTAGTTAAGAAATATAAAAATTTCGCAAACCTGAGAAATGACAATGGGGAAATGGTTCGAAGTAGTTTGCGTAGTGTGCGCCAAATAATTCAATCAGTGGGCTTGTTAATAATATTAACGTATCCAATCACAGCGCGTTAAAAAAAAAACAAAAAACAAGATGACCCACCCCCATGGGTAGCTGAAAATTGAACGACCCACCCCTTACCAAGGGCTCAAAAACTGATGGCCCACTCTCTCTCTGCTCCGGCCCACCCTCCCCCAATACTTTTTGACCAGNGGGGGGGGGCTGGGGATAGCACGCTGTGACAACTAAAAGATAAACTGTGTGAACGGGCAGGTTTATGTGGATTTTGGGGCAAACCGTGTTTTTAAGTTATCTTTGAGGGTTAAGTTTGGAGATTAGAACGTGTAGGGTTTTTTTTATGTAGATTTTTTCAGGCAGGGATTTTAGTTGGTGTTACATCACGGGTTCACCCCCATATTCTGATCTCTATTTTTTCCTTAGTTCGATCATCTACTCGGGCGCTGCAGCGATTCTCTGGCAGGCCATTCTGTTTTTAGGACGTAACACTGTTTTCATTACCTGAGCGCTGAAGCAAAGAAGCTGCGTGTTTAAAAACAATGCCATGCAGAAAACTGTCAAAGACTGAACGGGATAACATATTGTATAAGGGCTTATATGTCTTTACATAGAACTTAAGCAAGATAAATAGTTGACCTTTCTTTGGCCAAAAACGATCAGAGTCGAGAAACAAAAGGTGTACACTGGAACACACAAGTATGGGCGGTTTCTTCATGTATTCTTTTTTTTTATAAGACGAAAAAATAAACGTTCGAGCGCAGAATTTGAACCTTCGACTCTCGCACGACAGGCGCGCACCCAACCATTGCGCCAACTGGTGACCATTGGTGTGGAGGGAGAAAAATTAAGTTATATTGCTTCGAGGCTGATGGTTATCTGCGACTTTAGTCAACAGCTGGCTCAAAACTATTTCTGTTTGTTCGATTTGCTAAATTTCTTTGTAAGAATTTCTGAATAAAACGCCAGATGTTAATGCAACAATAAAACGCCTTCGAAAATGGCACGTTTGTGAACTCGAGCGACCTGCGAGCTTAAAAAATGCTCCAAAATGCTGTGAAACGAAATATAAACTTTTAGGTTTTTTTTAATGAAACAGAACCTTGCTGGACAATTAGATGAATTTTATCGATGATGGTAGTACACACAAGAAACAGGCAACGATTTTGTATTGACTATTTACATTTTTGAACGTTTCCATTTTTATTGCAGTACGGACAGTCGCATTTGTGTTGAAGATTACAGTATTATCACTGGTTAAAAGCGCATTTTGCATCTTATTTGCGCTTAATCACATTATATTTTTCATTTAAACCGAGTTGTAAACAGTGTGGGAAGTTAAATGAGTTCATGTTTTACGAAGTGTGTTAGCCAAAAAAGAGAAGAAATTCAAGGCTGCTTCAATGGGATTCGAGCTTGTGATCCGCGCGCCGGCGCGTTGCTTTGTACTGACTAAGCTAGATTCAGTCATGATACGTTGGGAGAAGATCAACTGTAGGTTCTTATATCCCGCAGACTAACATGGGAAAAGTATTTATGAATTTTTTTTTTTTCTCTCTAAGGTAACAGCGATCAAGGAGCAACTTTGAAGTCTGAACAGATGGCTTTCGAAAGGACCATGAACATTGTAGAAGTTTCTCTGACATTTCTGTGTGAACGCGATGGGAAAACACGGGTAAGTCATATCGTTGACATGTTTATTCCACAACCCTAGTTTGTTATGCATACAGTTTCTTTCTTACTACAATTCAAACACGAGCGGCAGTAATGGATATGAAACTTGACATCTTTCATACATTGTTCATCATGTGGTTATACGGCAATCTTTCCAGTCGAACCATCGATTTAGTTATTTATGGAGTGAAGTTCGTGGGTTTATAAATATATTTACAACGATTGTGATTACCGATTGATTACGCTGAATCACTGAAAGCTTTACGCAGACAAGGCGATATGACTGCTCGAAATATTCTGGGGAAATATATTATCTGATTCCGCGAGTTTGACAGCTTCAAACAACTATGAACGCCGGAAACGTTTTCATATGATTTCCGCAGTGATCAAACGTGAAGCTAGTCTATCGAGTTGCGAGGAAGCATTCAGTTCCGTTTAATGTTTTAACATTCACGGAAAAAGCTGTCAATCAACTTTATCTATCTTTCCTGTACTGTCTCTTTCAGATACTTTAGAAATGACCGGTTTGAGAAAAGGCCAAGAAAAACATCAAAGGTGGAAGAAAGAAAGTCCGCCATCACTAACTAGTATTTATTTTATACCGATCTTGTAGGATAACTTTGAACATACGCCTGGGCGGTTGATATCACATTTCTCGTAGGATTTTTTCTCTAAGTGTTTTTGGCAGGAAACGTTTGTATATAAAAGTTCACTCGCGCTCTGTTCAGATGCCTTGAAAGTAACCAGTTTGATGAGTAGCCCAAAAAAATAGTTGTCTTAAAAGAAAGGAAAAAATTGATATGGATAGCCACCACCTCCCCGCCAACAACCGCTAACTAGCATTTCTTTTATACTTTTTATCAAGAGTAGAGTTCCCATCCTTGTGGTACAACTTTATACGTACGCATGCGCTTTTGGTATCATACTTTTGAGTCAAAATTTTTCTAAGTCTTTTGGCGGGAAACGTTTTGATATATAAAATTCACTGACGCTCTGTCTCTTTCAGATCTTATGAAAATGACCAGTTTTGAGATATGGCCAAAGCAAAGTTTCCAACCTTGGAAAAAAGGGAAAAATTGATGTGGAAAACCGGCACCACCCCGCCACCACCACTAACTAGCATTTATTTTATACTTTATAGCAAGAGTTTACAGTTCCCATCCTTGTGGTACAGAAGCCTCTAATACGCATGCGTATTGGGTGAGTATGTCTCAGTTGTGAGAAGTGGGATGTACTGTATGAGATAAGTTGTAAGTGTAAGTTGCCGTAAAGCTAAGTTACTTACAGTTGCAACAAATGTCCGACTTATGATGTAAGTTGTGACTGTAAGTATAGCTTAGCTTTACGGTTACTTACACTTACACCGTACCACTTACAGTACATCCCACTTCCCACAACTGAGGCATACTCACCCAATACGCATGCGTAAGAGAGGCTACTGCACCACAAGGATGGGAGCTTTAAATTTCTGCTATGCTAGTTGGTGGTGGCGGGGAGATGGCGGTGTTACACATCAATTTTTCTCCTACCTTTCAAAATTGAAATTTGGTTTTCCTTCCTCTTGACGTTCTTGTTCTCTCATATCAAATAAACTAAAGGGACAGTGTGCAGCGTTGACATTTGTTTACTCTGTAATATTAAGCTAACAAGAAGATCAATAAAAGAATACTCAATAACAAAACAGCTTTAGTATACATGTCTTTGGAATACAACTGAGTTATAACGCTAAGTTTTGCGTGTTTCTCAGTGCACGAAGTCCGTACTAATATGTAAACAAGACGACTTCACCAAACCCTTACCTTGCGAAACTGCCGTTACCTTACTCTGAAAGCGAATACGTTCTTACAAGTAACAGAACTACGAAAACTGTGCGCTACAGCTCTAAATATACTATGACCAAAGGTGCAATGAATAAGTGTATAACAAGGCAAACACACAACTTGAATGCTTGGACTAATATAAATTGTCCGGTGGCGATTTGCTGCAGAGCGCGAATATAGTTTTTGTCGTAATACCTTGATATCCCCGAGATTTATATTTCGTGGAAAGCTGCAAACAATTTCGCTGACATAGAGAAACGTTTTGAGTCATGGTAAACAGGCAATAGGAAAAGAAAGCCGCAAAATACGTAAAATTCCGTCATTTCAAGTTGTTTTGCATACTGAGCGGCTACAAAGTGTACAAAGGTGTGTAAAGCGCGTGCAAAGCCATTGTGTAAACCTTTTGTTTGCCGCCATTCAAGTTGCTGTTCACACCGTCCTGTAGTTAGTTTGTTTAAGCTCCCCAATATCGACCTATCTTCACATGTTAATTTTTTTGAACTACCAAAATGAAAACCCTCAAGAAATTATAAGACTAGCCTAGGATATACGAAATCTTTTGTGGTCCTATCCTACATACCCTCAAATATTAAACGCTAAGCGCGGTTTCTGGATAAAAGCCCTACCTACATGTCCTACATGGTGCGAGGTTGATCGTAGCCCTGGGGTAACCCAGAAGACGATACATTTACACTCCGTGATTCAGTCTTTTTGTTTAAATATAATGGTCGTGATGGACTGTATGTGCCCTAGTTGAAAATAATGCGACCTTTCACTTCCTTTTGAGAACATCTAATTAGCAAAACATTGGGCGCCTGACCTTAGTGAAACTCTTCACATGTTTTAATAACAAATTTCACCTTTTGAAAACCAAAATTTTAACATACCTTAACCCTTAAGAAAGTAGCACATGAAGAGTGCTTTGACCGAGGACTAGCGCTCAAAACGTCAGCTTCCCAAACCCTACACGACGATTAATTTACCTTTATCAACTTCAAGTTGATAAATACGTCTTTCACTTGCTCGTCACGCACGTAGCTAGTCACGCGTCACACACTCCACCCCGTTGAAGAGGAATATGTGTCGCGTGACGCGCCAAAAGTATGGGAGGGCGTAAATATCAAATTGTGTTTGTATATTAATCCTCGAAAGAAATGTCTGAAGTAAGCGAAAACATGTAAACTTGTGGTGATAATTAATTTTGTATCAGAATTATAGACCCACTTTCCAGCCCACTACAACATTGTCAGTAGCTTGCAATGTCTTGCCAACCAATCTGTTTTTCAGAAGAAAAAAAAAAAGAGCTATATTTTTGGTCTTTTCTATTTATCACAATGAAATGCAAAGGGTTTGCCAGTTTCTTTCAGAAATTGTACTATCTTAATTTTTTGTTCACTAACTACCAAAATTGATAAATTTGACCCTACTGAATATGCTAAAATTCTCATTCATGATAAATTTGACCCCACTTTTCCAAAACTTTTGTTGAGTGTACCTTTTTTTCATATTTTTTTTTTCAGTTAATAAGTTTTTTTAAGTGTACCTGAAGTTTCCGAGAGGAGCCAAGACAGACTTCGATGTAAAAATCACTGAACCAGGCTAATAAAAGTGTACTGAATTTTTGGACCCGCCAAGCAAGTTGAACTGTGACTCGCCTACAGGTTACCTTAGCGCTGGGATCAACCTCACGCCATGTAGTTTGTACAAATTTCATCTCGCAAGTTCAGCGCCTTGATTTAAAGGATTTACTTTCCGTACAGTGTTCCGCAAAGTAAACATAGATGTGAGATGAGTATTTCCTAGAAGTAGAACTATCTAACCTGTAAGTAGTAGACCTATTACACCTTTTGCTGTTCATTTACAGAAAACAAACATTCATTTGTGTCCAAATTTCTTTCATTATGGTCATTAAACTCTCATTAACACCAATATGACCTTCATTTGCGCGTAAGGAACGTTCAAGAAAAACATTTACATATGCATTAACATTCAAAATCCTCAAAAGAAAAACAATACCTTCATTTGACATTCATTGACTGTAAATGTATTTTCATTTTGGTCGAAAAAAAATTC